ACTCTTTCCTGCCTATGCAGGGGGTCGGACTCGATGATCTATTGAGGTCCCTTCCAACCCTAGAATCTATGAATCTATAAGTACAAATAGGAGCAAAATGTTCAACTCCCACTGATTTTCACTGACAGCTGGGTACCTAAATGGCCTTTGTGCTTTTGAAATGATCCTTCCAAGAAGGCTCTATGCATCCAATTCCCCTGCATCTCATGACACAAATTTTTAATTTCCCCTCCATGAAGGGGAAGAGGAGGAGGAAGGGGAGGGCAGGATGGTGCACACGAATACTTCAAGAGAGATTTTTAAATATTGCCATTTCATCAGTGACTTTTGAGAACAGGATTATGACTGAGTTGTTATGAAATATTCATTACCAGGCTCATGAGCCATTGTTTCCTGGGTTGTGATTGCTCCAGGCAGTCACAAGATTGCAGCAGTTACTATTCAACATCTCAACATTAAGTGTAATTTGTCTTGTTCCTGCTCTGTGTATATTTGTATCTAACCCACCTCTTTTCCCTTCAGCAGCATAACCTGGGGGAAGCGAGGGCTGTAGAAACAGTGCACTAGCCACAGGTGCTAATTCAGAGAGGGTGCCACAATGGCACATGCCAGGGAGCCCACACCACTGCTGCCACCACCAATGCAGCAGCCCCTGCAGAAAGACGTAAATGCTTGCTCACCCCATCTGCCTTCTATCTGGGGCACCAAAATTTCAAGTTATACCTCTGTCTCACACCAGACTTGTTAGATGCACTAAATATTCTAAACCTCAAATTAAAATTCCCATCTCATTTAGAGAGTTTAGACAGGTGCTTACCTTTACACCATGGCCCACATCATCCAGCACTGTGTAGTCTATAGGTTTTCGAATATACCTTACAGGACGCTCCATGTTCGCCGGCGCTATGATTTTATGAGTTCTTGATGTATTCTTATTGGTTGTCAAAATACCTATCTCCCTGCGAGCCACTTTCTCTTTATGGATGTCCACAGTCTAAAGTTCAAAACAAATAAAAAATAAATTGAGAGAGCTGCCTAAATATTCAAGCTGTTGAATTAGACAAGACAGACTAGTAAAAATTAATAGTGCCTGAAACAAACCAACTAATTTAATCTGAAATAAGGGAGAGTTAAACAAACAAGACCATAATTTTAAAATTAAATAATTCTACCCAGTGAAATTGGTTATTCCAAGAAAGGACAAGAGTAATAAAACACAACACTTTGCATCAACAAACACACCTGACAAATAGCAAATCTTCAACACACATGACTGACAATAGCAGTAACAATTATTTCATCTTTAGAGATGTGAAACCAAAATAAAAAGCCTAAAAATGATTTTCCTCAAGAGAAAGAGGAATTAGAAAGATAGGGAGCAATTTCTTATATCAATCTTACATGCATATCCAAGTTAAAAAAAATGGATAAGTAAATGTTATATGTGGATTTGGCCATGTACATTTGTTAGATTGTACCATCTCTGGAAAAATGTTTATAACATCCACCAGTTACAGAGGATATGAAAGAGATTATCTTTCAAATTTCCCTGCCATCAGCAATACCTCTCTTTCTCATCTGACTCGGGCTCTGCAGTCTCAGTATTTCCCAGTCTCTGGCTGTAGTTAGGGATTGGATGCAGGTGAACCAATTGAAACTGAATCCAGACAGGAAAGATGTGATGTTGTGACATGGGCAGGACTGGGACATCTATTACTGATAGGATTCTGCCTCCATTTGTCACTCAGGTTTGCAGCCCTTGAGCGCTCCTGGATTCTCCTACATTTGGATCTTCAGGTGGCAGCAGTGGCTATGAACGTCTTTCATCAACTCCACCTGGCAAGGTGGCTGCAAAACCCTTTCTTTTAGATTCAGATCTGGCCATGATCATCCATGCCTTTCTAACCTCAAAGCTAAACTACTGCAAAGCACTATGGGGGCTACCCTAGAAAATAGTGCAGAAGCAGCAGCCTGTCTTCTGATGGGTGTGGGCTGCCACGAGCGTGTAATGCCAATGCTCCAGAATCTGCACAAGCTCCCAATAGCTCTCCAGATACAATTCAAGCTGCTGGTATTGATCTGTAAAGGCCCTAAATACCTATGGGCATTTTTACACATGCAAGCGCCGCAGCACCGGGCACTTGGAAAAGCACACAGCACTGCAATGCTTACACTTGTATGTGACAAAATGCACATCAGCACTGAGCAAATAGCGGCGGCACACTTTTCAACTAACACACTTTGGAGATGTATTAGTTCAAAAGCACACTGACATGCAGCACAGCACATGCGTACAGCAGACTCATGCCTCAGCTCACGTGTGGAGCAGACTTGATTAATCACTCTGAATTAGTGCTCAGATTAATCAAGTCTGCTCCAAAACGGTGGATCTCCAACAAGTTATGGGAAAAAAAGTGTGCATAAATACCCTAAGGGACCAGTTCTCCCTGACCTACCACTGTGATCCCCAACATCAGCTGACAGCAACCTCCTGCAAATACTATCAATGCACCAAGTCTGCTTGGTAAAAACGCATGGGAGACCATTCTCAGCAGTTGCCCTCAGCTCTGGAACTCCTTCCTTCTTAAGGTTCACCAAAGCCTGACCCTGGAAATCTTTTGGAAGCATTCTAAGACCTTCTAACTGGGGTAAGTGTTTAGCAAATAAAGCTGGGGTGAAATATTGTTTAGGAATGGTTTATTTTATATCAATACAGGCAGTCCTTGACTTATGATGGTTCGAGTTCTGACGAACCACAGTTACAATGTTTGTAAATTGACAGCTGGGTTTTGAAGTTCCGACATGGGTTTCAACTTTACGATGCTGAATGCTGGCTACAGGTCTGTCGGTGGAAGGGGAGGGGGAAGGAAAGGGCCGTGGAGGGGGCAGATCAGGCCCCCTGCAGGGTGGAGAGGGGCTGGGGCTTGAACAGTGGGTGGGGCAAACACTGCCCAGCTGGGGCTGTGCCAGGCTCTCAGAGCGGGGGCTATGGGTGGCGGGAGAAGCTGCAGCTTGTCCGGCTGCTCCCCCAGCTGCCCCCACTGGGGCGAAACAGGTAGTGCCAGGGCTGTGCCAGATGACCGTGGGAGAGCTGCAGCTACATCTGCCTGCTCCCCTGGCTGCCCCCGCCGGGGCGAGGCAGGCAGTTCTGGGGCTAAGCTGAGCGGCTGCAGGAGAAGCCGCAGCCTGTCCAGCTGTTCCTGATGCATGTCCAGGAGGGCATGGGGTGGGGTGGGGGAGGGACGTGCGACCCCCAGATCTGGTCAGGGAGGGGCGGAGTGGGCTGTGCTCAGGGCAGATCGGAGGGCATGTGCCTCCCCCCCACCTCCACCCCAATGCCCTTCTGGACACGTGGCCAGAGCAGCAGGGGGCTGCTCATCTGGAAGCCATTTGCTAGGCAGCTTCTCTGGTGCTCAGTCACTGCTTCCGTTGCTACCACTACAGCACTATGGTACTGTACCTGTACTGAATAAAGAATAAGTCCTAGTACTGTACTGTACAGTACTGTACAACAAGTTCACTGAGCTGCCCATGCGCTGTTCTGTTTCCAAACTGCCCATAATAATGGCAGAAAAGCATAAATCTGGTGAAAGTGATGTTTCTTCTTCTAAGAAACAGAACAGTTTCTATGGAAACAAAAATGAAAATAATTAAGGAGGTCTGAAAAAGGTGAGACCCCAACTGAAATGGGTAGAGCTCTGGATATCTCCCAAACAACTGTAGTGACCATCCTGAAAGACAAGGCAAGAATTGAGGAGCATGTTAAGGACTCGGCGCCTATGCATTCAACTGTGATAACTAATCAGCGTGCTGGACTTATTGGTCAAGTTGAGAAACTGTTAATCATTTGGCTGGAGGATCAAAATAAATGCTGTGCTCCTGTGAGTTTAGGCATCATTCAGGAAAAGGCTAGGAGTCTTTCTGATGATCTAAAGAAACAATAGGGGGAGAAAGTTCTAATGCTGAGCCTTTTACTGCAAGTAAGGGGTGGTTTATGTTTTTTAAAGCCAGAGCCAATTTGCATAACAAAGTCTCAGGTGAAGCTGCCACTGCTAATGAGGAGGCAGCTTGTGCTTGTCCTGAGATATTGGCTGAAATCACTGAAGAGAATGGCTATTGTGCTCAGCAAGTTTTTAATGTTGACGAAACTGGACTCTTTTGGAAAAAAAAAGTCATCAAGAACCTACACCGCCAAAGAGGAGAAATCCATGCCAGGGTACAAAACTGCTAAAGATAGGCTCACTCTTTCTTGGTGCCAATGCTGCAGGTGACTTTAAACTTAAACCTTTACTTATGTACAATTTGGAAAACCCCAGAGCTTTTAAGGGACATTCCAAGGCATTTCTCCCGGTGATATGGAAATCCAATCCCAAGGCATGGTTCAATAAGAACATTTTTGAGGATTGGTTTAATCATAATTTTGTACCAAGTATCAGGGATTATTGCAGAAAAAACAATCTTGCATTTAAAGCGTTGTTAATCCTCGACAATGCTCCTGGCCATCCAACCATCCTTAATGATATGCATCCTGACATCAAAGTGGTGTTTCTGCCCCCCAATACCACATCATTGTAGCAACCTATGGACCAGGGAGTAATTGCATCCTTCAAAGCCTACTATCTTAGGTGCGCTTTTGCCCAGGCCCTCATGGCAATTGAGAAGGAAGGTGGACCAACTCTGAGGGAATTCTGGAAGGGCTTCAACACTTACCATGCAGTTAAGAACATTGATGAGGCATGGAATGAAGTCAAGCAATCAAATTTGAATGGTGTTTGGAGAAAATTGTCCTAAGTTTATGTCTGACTTCCAAGGCTTTACAGACACGGTTGAAGAGGTGACCAAAAATGTTGTTGAAATGGGCAAAGAACTCAACTTAGACAATGCACCAGAAAATGCTGAGGAGTTGCTGGCATCCCATTCTGAAGAATGAATCAAATGAGGACCTCACTGAATTGGAACAGCAAAAGGTGGCAGAGGAAGAAGATGTACCCACTGTTGAAGAGACTCCTCCTCATAAAGTCTTGACAACAAAAGCGTTGAAATGCCTCAGCCAACATTTGGAAGCTGCCAAGTCCCTGTCTGAGGAACATGACCCTGACATTGAACACAGGGCATCAGTGAATAGGAAAATATCCAGCATGTACAGCTGCTACAAAGAAATTTACAAGCAAAAGAAGAGAACATCTGTCCAAACTTCCTTGCATACTTTCTTTAAGAAAGGGGACAAGACTCCTGAGAAGACTCCAGCCAAGAACGCTTCAAAAAGTCCAGCAAAGTCACCTCAAAGAAGTCCTTCCAAATAAATGTGATTACTATTTACAATATAAATACATATAGACAAGTAATATAGCTAGATTTATTTATTTTATATAATTGATCAAGTACTGTACCAAATTGTGGGTTATTTTGTGTGAAAATAGGGTATCAGGCCTTGGCTCAGGAACCAACCCCCCATTTATAACATTGTTTCTGGAAAACTGGTTCCGAGTTACAACGTTTCAACTTAAGATGCAGTTTTCAGGAGCCAATTGTGTCGTAAGCCTGAGGACTGCCTGTGCTCCAGTTCCTCTTAAGTTTTTGGTTCTCTCATATATTTTTTTTTGTTTTAAAAGTTATTATCCTCTTACTGTAACATACCCTGAGCCTTTGTTAAGGGTGTTATAAATCAAATAAATAAAATACAGTTCTAGCTATCTTCTCACCTACTTAAAGTTTTTTCTTTAGTAACAAAATGGATCCCAAACTTAACACCATTTATTTAATACCTTAAGCACTGCAGCAGTCTTTACTCAACAGTGAAAGCTTGGTTGGGAGGGGCAACACTCTGGAAATAACTTCCAGGGGAATAAAAGTTATACCTTTATTATAGCACATCAATTCATGGGGAAACAGCCAGAGAGAGGTTGTAGAGCTGATCCTGTGGTCCACCGTACCACTTAGGAGGAAGTAAACTATCATATTTACCGTATTTCATGGTGTATAGGTTGGCCCCAT